GCTCACCCCTGGCATCCTGCAAGATCCTGTTCCATCCGACACTGGGGTTGAGGGAACCTGGCGCCATAAGTAAGGCAGCACCAAGTGTTTCTGTGATGCTCAGTGGCATTGTTTAGAGCACCTACTGGTTAATGCAGACTCTTTCCTACCTCCAACTTTCTTAGCATCAAATAAACCTGCTTTTCTTATCAGAAAAGTAGCAAGGAGTATCTTCAAACCAAACGGGACCTAGCAGGGAGCACTAGGTGCCCAGTCAATCCGTCAATGGTAGAGACTGTTGTCTTCACACTCCTGCCACAGTGTTTTAGCATCTCAGAATTTTGTATCATAATCACGCAAAAAAAGACTATACTCATGTCTATACTCATGTCCACCAATCCTGCAGGTGGACCTTGGGTTTCAGATGAGTCAGTCTAGAAAGCAAGAAGAAATGTCCTGAAAGATGACTAGCAAGACACTTGGGAGTCTAGATACGCACCACGGTTTGGGGTGAATGTCAGAGGATCGAGTATGTCCGGAAGACAGTGTTTCACTCCCATTGACCAACCTCTGGCTCTTATAGGGTGTTGTCCCCTCTTCTGCCGCCTCTCCACGATGGTCCCTGAGTCTCGGGGAGAAGGGGTGTGACATAGCTGTCCCATTTGTGGCTGGTTGAGCATTCCACTGCACATTGACAGGCTGTGTGTTTCTGCATTAACTGTCCTCCACTGCACAAAGAAACTTTTCTCAGGAGATCTGAGAACTGCACTAATTAGATACAAAGTTAAAGGACAATTTGATACTACTTCCATTTAGCAAAATAATTGTAATAAGTTGTCCTCTGGGCCTTAACAATTCCCCAACCATGGATGAGTGGGCATGAGTTTCCGCCTGTGACCGGCCTTAAACCAATCAGAAAGCACCTGGTCTCCCTCGTCTCCCCCCTCCCCCCCATAACACTCATGCCACCACCGTTGCTCCCAGGGGCATCTCACCGCATCAGTCATTATTGTAGCTCATTGGGTTCACAGCCGGATAAGACTGTGGATGAGTGACACACCCACAGACACCTGCATAGCAACTTCTGGCACTATGAAAGGCAGACAGCAGGAAGGACGCTTCCTAGTCAGTGCCAACTTGATTTCTCCATGTCCTGTGACCAAAGTTTCTTCAGCAACAGAGTCTTATCATCAAGATCTATAAGTAACCAAGCACAAATGACAATACCCTACACTATTTGGGATTCTCTGGGATATCCCTAAATTCTACAGGCCCTCCACGTTAGACACACAAATCTAAAGATGCTAGGACCCACTGTGAGTGAGAACCTGCAGTGTTTGTCTTTCTGGGTCTGGAAACCCCTTACTTTAAACAATATACACCAAAGAAAAAGCATTCCCAGGTGTTTCTGAAAACTTGGCTGCAATGACAGACTTTCTTTTTAGTAGACATGAGTATAGTCTGCAGAAGGGATGCCCATGACCTGTTTCCCATTGATGCCATTTTTCTGAAGTATGAACAATAAAGTTTAGTCTATTGCCTAAGGTGTTATTCTCAACTGCACAAGATCAAAAGGGTTTAAATTTCTCATTTTGAATAAATTATTAAAATGCTGTATGTGATAGTTTCCTAGAAAGTAAATATTTTACTGTCTTGATTTAAACTTGTCAAATAAGTTGCTTTCTTACATAAGTAGGTGTGTTTTCCATCCGGCAAGTAGAACCGTGAATTTAGAATGGATGTATGCTTATATAGACACCATTATTTTTTAATGACTATTGAATACTTCATGTTTTAAAATGCTTGATTATACTTAAGTACATGTTGGGCAGTTTTAACATTTGAAGTATTATTTCCTAGACTTCTAGATTGTTTTCATCAACATCTTGCTTTAATTCAGAAGATTTTTTTCAAATGTATTATTGTATAAAATTTTTCTTCTGATTTTTAATCTACCTTTTGACTGATAATTATAATGTAAGAAATTAAACCCTAAGCTTTGATATAATGTGACTGACATGCTGATGAATGTGTGTGTGAGTTATAAAGATTATAACTTTTCAACCCTTGTAGATTCTTAGTTTGCAAGAGACCCTTATGACAAAAGAGAGATTCACAAGCAAAAACAACTAGAAATTTTACTAACATGCATATTTCATATACCTGTGGGAGAATCACAAAGAATGACGAGTTCTCAAAGAGGTGGCTTTGAAATTCCAGCTTATATAACATCTTCAAATGACAATACATTCCTTGAGAAGTGACTAGGCGAAGGAAAAGGACTTTGAGTATCCAAGTGTGGCCACTTGGGGGAAAGCAAAAAACAGGCAGAGTGAGGAAAATCAAGCTTGTTCGGGTAGATGGGCCGATGAGGTCCAGAGATGTAATGTGTGGCGAATCTGTTCTCCATGGAAGGAGAATGTGAACCTGTTCACATTGGTTGGAGGGGAGTCTTCTGACTTTCTGAGTGTGTCCTGTCTTTAGGCAGGTAGAGGGAGGACAGAGCTGTCCTGTACACACACTATCTTCACTGCCTTCAACTCAGCAATCTTTTCTGTTTGGGGTGACATATTCGGGTCTCCCACACAGCCTTTTAAGAATTAATTCCCAGTGTCATACATTTTTGTCAGTAGCAATGGTGGGAAAACGATGTTTTTGTTAAAATCATAAAATTGTTTTGTATTGAAGACATGAAAAAGCGCGTTATTCCTGTCTCTCAGTGAGAAGGGCATTCAAGGCGTGTGGCAGACCTTCCCGGATGCAGCTAGTTAAAAACATCCCTGTGTCCTCCATAGATGCAGATGGCTGAGGTGTATGGCTGTTAATAGATTACTGACAGGTCTGTCCACAGTGGGTTGTCTCTCTATCCTGAGATAGTTTTTAATATTTTATTGACAAATTCTTAAGCTTGTAAATATTGGAACACTGTGTTTACAATATATGCAAGAATTGCAATGTGCAAACAATATATCTAAAGTAGCAATTATTAGAATCAAGGGACAATCATGATTTCAATATAGTGACAAACCTGAGAGGCACACAGCGGGGGGGGGGGGGGGGGGGTTGGGGCTTTGTTAGAAATAAGTACATGGGGGGCCCATCTATCAACGGCCCTTGTGACTTCCTGTCATAGTTAGCCTGAATAAATGGGTTTAATTTAGAATTTAATTATTAATTGATTTTTTCTACAATGTTCTACAAGGACCAACATACTGTTCACCAATCAGAACAGAGATCTTTCAATAGTGTAAGAGTTGAGGCAGTTACACTAATGAGTGCTGGCTGGATAGAGTATAGGTGAAAGCAGAATGACTTTAGAGACAGCAGCTTTTCCCACCTTGGGAAAAGGTTTCTCTCTCAGAAGATATCTGGGGGATGGGAGGAGAGAAAGAATGCTTCTGCCAACATCTGGGGGAAGCAAGAAGCAACTTTCTGCAGACTGGATAGGCTAAGACCAATGGTTTAGAGAAAAGAGGACACACATTACATCACTCCAGTGTTGTAGAAGACACACCTGTGGCTGTGTGATGCCAAGGAGGCAGAGGTCAGGCCTAAGCCTCCAAGGATCTCCAGCTAGCAAAGAGAAGAAGGCCAGGAGGAAAGGGACCGAGACACGGGAAGACCCAGTGTGGGCCTGTGCCCAGTGGCAGAGGTAGTAGCTTCTGGTCCTTTGTGTTATACATCCCCCCAAAAAATCTTCGCCAAACATTGTGAGGATCCTTCTGTATCCCTAATAAAAAAAAAAACTTCCTTCTAGCCCAGCATCAAGGAGGCTCAGAGTTAGATTTAAACTATTTTAAAGGAAGTCAGGAGGTTATGTGTGCAGTTCATGTGAACCTGCACTTTCTAGACTTTCCACCTATGAATGGGGGCTGGGCAGGTTAAAG